GAACTCACATTCACATACACCACAGGACTCAGAGATTTGTGCACGATGTAGAGTCGCACCATTCGGTAGAGCGTTAGTAGCACGACACTTTTCTAGCTCACGGTGTACGCGGTTGGACCATATACTTCGATGTTTACTTGGTGAAGAGGCACTGGAGGTCATAGGTGACGATGACTCCATTACAGCCCCATTGATGAAGTGACGAAGGGGAAAGATACAATGCATGCAATGTGATTGGTAAATTATTCAAATTGCGATGACCCATTGGATAAAAACTGCAAACTGTGTACAAATATTGCACATGCTACTTATCTATCCCGATAATACGACATATCACTCTTGAGCACTGGTCTGCCCTATTCTTTCTCGGTAACGTCGAGGCCCTTAAACAAGGTGGTTTTGTCATTGCGTACGTGATCAAGTTCGTCAATCATGGCTTTCATCAGATAGTTCTTATCCTCCATCTTGAGGCGGCCATTATTCATCATGGAAAGCTTCATAATCTCTAGTGCTTCTCTGTCTGGGTGGTTAGCCGGGATCTCCACATCCATTTCAGGCAATTTTATGTCGTCTATGTGACCTGTGTGACCCATTCGAGCAAAAGCCTCCTTAAGAATCTTGTCCAATTTTTCTCCGCTAGGCGGTTCGTTCGGGATGTTAAGCAGATCTGTGAAGAGGTCAGTACCCGAAGTGGCAGGCCATGACTTGTCCTCCATCATAGCAGCGGGTTCCTCCCACTCGTGCTGAAAATCTTCCACATTGTCTGGATTGAATTCTCGATAGCCACGCTCGCCAGTAGTTTCCATATACGTGCGATAAGGGTCGTACAGATCGCCCGAGTCCTCTTCGTTCATATCTTTGTCCTCAAAATCATCTAATTTGCGGTGCCGACGGCCTCGAAATGAGTCATCGTCGTCATCATCACGACGTGTGCGTAGTGCAAATCCGCGAAACTTCTGCATCTGTGGGAAACGGTTGGACCGAGTCACCTGTTTCATGGTCGTCCGCATGAGCGCCTGCATTACCACCATCGCTTGTTGATGGCCTCTCTTTCGGTAGTATTGATAATCTTTTAATAGTAGTTGTAAGGAATAAAATATTATACTACCAAATTATGCTTAAATATGATTTCTAAATCATACTATGATAAACAAAATGCTACGTCTATGTAAAAGCCGAGGCAGACAAACATAAAGATCTAACAAAAAGAAAATTCTGGCAATTCATGTCAATCAGGTGGTGTCAAAGACGTTGTTGTCGACAAGCTTTTGATTTCAACTTGCCACGCATGTCGAGAAAGCAGCCTTGCTATAGACGCAGTTGCAGCCAAGAAAGAGCATTCGGTGGACACTGTTTACGTGTACCCAAGCATGCAATTCTAGAAGCCTCGGTACACACGATGGCGAACTAGAAGGTACGACTTGTGTAGATATCTGAGTCGACATAAATTCTCAACTTGTCAGCCGTTAAATCGTCACACGCGATCGACGGTTATAACGCAAAATGTTTGTAATCCGTACTGTATTGAAAGTGAAGGCACTTTAGCATTGCATCTCACGCGCCTGGTGAAGAACATCGTAATGTAAATGTGATGCGCATCGCCTGTTAAAATCAAATCATCCCACCAAAATTCTAATGTTTGCATGTAACGAGCAAAATATAGTCCTCGCGATTTCCAAACAAAATAACCCACGCACAATAATTTGGCTGCAATCGGCCGCGCACATTCTTGCACAGCCAAATTATGCGCATTATCGAGCTAGTCGATTGAGATTTCAAAACAATCCATCATTCTCCTACTGGTCGAGCTTAGAAAACATCGTTCGAAGTCATATTTCCATTTCATACATTATGCCTTCAAAAGTCGCTTAAGTCGCTTCTTCTCCCGCGCCATGACTTCTTCTCGAAAATAAGCTGCCAGAAACTTATTACTGCTTAAGAAACTCCGAAAAGTCTCTCCGCCAATTTCCACCACTTTAACAGGCTGAGTACAACGCACACTCGAGTTGCGAGTCACAATCTTAGATGCTTGCGTCTGCCCCGACACACCTAATGGAAAGTAGTCACCTGGATGCAACTCTTCCACTACAACTCCCTTCAATAGCTTCAGCACTTCGACCTGACCGTCGACAATAATATAAACCGAATCACAAGGATCACCTTCCTTATAGATATAATCACCGGTATTGAATGTGCGAATTCTGACCGACCCCTTGGCAGCTTCTAAACATTTAAATAAGTGTTGCTGAATATGACGATGCGCAGTCTCTTCTAAGCGATGATTGATCGACTCATAAGTTCCTTTTAGATTCAGATAGTCATCTGCCACAACTTGCAAAACTTTGCACGGTTTGTCGCTTCCTTCAGCACATCGATAGGTTGCAATTCTTGGTAAAAAGCGTCCGTCCGGTCGTACCAGCTCAATCTCACCAAAATATGTTCCTTTTGGCAACCGTCTCAGCTTCATTTCCTCCTGTCCTGACGAAGGAGATTGCGTTTTGATGAAACCTTGCCACGACGGTCGTGACAGTAGACCAGCAAAATCTTCAGACTGGTCGTATGTAAAATCACTCGAAGGGTCTTTATCCGACGTATCGATGGGCACCAATTTCTTTATTGGGTTTCTACACGAAACTTCGACCTCTCCATCAAGCAGTAAGTACACATTGTGGGCTCCAGCATGACCTTCTTGAATAATGGCCTCTCCTGGGCGATAAGTAGCGGATCGCAACGTGGAGATGGTCATTTTCACATTGTCATAGTCGACCGCATTAACAGACGATGCGTTCTGTTCTGGGTCACCAGTACCCCCCACAAGCATTTCATTGAGCTCATTGTCACTCATGTGTTTCCCAAAACTTTCACTAACACGCGCAAGATCCTTTTTCGAGATAAATCCCTTGCCTTCCTTGTCAAAAAAATGCAACGTGGATAACAAAGCATGCGTCTTTTCAGTCAAGGCTTCAACACTTGAGCTAAGGCCCCAAGCAAAACTGCGTTTAACATTCTCTAGCTCTTGATTCTCATTCTCATCCAAATCATCAGCCATCGCATCCAGTAGCAGAACGGCCAAGATACTCGCACGTAATCGACGACGTCCACGCTGGAACTTTTCGAGCAGCTCAGCTGAATTTTTCATTGGCTCACAACTAAGTTGGGCATGATTTCGGAGCCAGGGATGCTGCAACGCTTGCTCAGCGCTTAAGCGCTTGTTTGGGTCAATCTCAAGCAGCTTTTGTATCAAGTCACGGGCAGACGGCGAGATTGACTGCCAAGCACGGGACTGGGTACAAAATTTGCCCTTTAATATCCTTTTTCGGATCTACAAAAAACATCGAATTAGTTTAGTAAATAAAAATTACAGACTTGAGTTAGCAAACCTACCTCTTCGTCTGATAGATTGTTATATGTGTCAAATGGATGTGAACCACACAACAAAATGTACAACACTATCCCCAGCGCAAACATGTCAGCTTTTGGTCCAAATTTGATAGCATCAGGACCGGCTTGCGCTTCGTAATCCTCCTCATCATCGATTGACTGGACAATCTCGCCATTAGCTCGGGCTTTTTCCTTAGTCTTTATTTTATGGATTAAAGCGCCATGCTCCAGAGTCTCTGGTGCTGCATATGCTACCGTTCCCATCAAATGAGAATCATAGAAAAACCGCTCACCCATTCGAAATGATACGCCAAAATCTACGAGACACATGCGGCCGTTGTGTAACAAAACGTTTTCGGGCTTGATATCCCCATGCACAATTCCTTTGCGATGCAAGTATTGCAATGCATCACACAATTGTCGAATCGTATTACTTGCCTGTTGCTCTGAGTATGCTCCAGTAGCGACTAAATGGTCAAATAATTCGCCACCCTGCGCTAGTTCCTGAACAATAAACCAGCAGCATTCCGTCTCAAAGGTACCCCGTAGCTGCAAGATATTCGGGTGCTGCCCAGCCACACGAAGCACGTCTACCTCGCTCCAGAATTCTCGAGCAGAAGTCGCGCTTTTGCTCAACATCTTGACAGCAACCAGCTCGCCAGTTCGTTTGTCAATGCCTTTCTGTACAACACAATAGCCTCCTTCACCCACAATCTCGTCCAATATCTTGTACTCGTCGTGAATATTGCCTCCGCGTCTAATTTTATACACATTAGCGTTTTCCATGGCGGCACTTGATTCCTGCTCCATTGACAAACTGGCAAGCACGAAAACCCCCATAGCGGTGCCGACAGCCGCTACTTTACGCCACTTGTTGACTACAACCTCCTTCTCAATGTGAATACTGTTGGATGCAGCAAATGTGCGCTGAAAAGTGCTGCAGATGCTTCTAAAATGCTGATGAGAGCTGATCAATGCTGCCGATCCACGTCGCGAGCGCACAAGTTTGCCACGTCGACGAATCATCATAAGACTTCTCAGCGGCGGAGGAATACGAGGCATTTGTAATGCGATGCAGTTATATGTCACTGAGGTTTGACAAGTGGACGCCTGGCGGTGTCAATAAAGTCTTCCAGTACGGAAGGAAAGAAAGTAGGATGATTTGGTGGAGCGTGGCAAGATTTTTTATTTTTGGCAGCGGCTATCGAGTTTAATCAATATCAGTACTTTCACATAGTCCAATATATTGTGAAGGGATGCATGTACTTTTTAACAATATCTGCAACATTTCGGTACGAACGAAAGGCTACATCACAGATTTGATTAGACCCCAAGGTAATCAAAATGTTGTTTCTGTGTACAGCTTACAATTTGTAACAGATTGAGCAATTTGACAGAGTCCAATTGCAAATGCGATACTAATTAAGAAGCAAGAAATGTAGAAGAACATATCCAGCAATATCACGTTTACTTTCTCGCTACAATTTAAGGCCTCCTAATGATCTGCTGACTTAAACTATTGTTGACTTCAAATGACATATACCAGAAAGCGTCAAAAATCCAAAAATCTTTGAACGATCTCTCACACTTCGTACACCCTTATAATGCCATCACGCAATAATTGCCGCATTGACCAGCCCGTCGGGCGATTATTTCCATCATCTGAGTGGCGCCAGGACCAGAAGATCCATCCCGAATGTGCCTTACTAAAAGCTTCAAGTTGCGCAGACGCGAATTGTTGCAATCCATGGCGATCTTCACATGGAAACGCACAATTTTGTGCACCAAGGCTCCACTCATCAATAAGCAGCCAATTCCCCTTCCACGATGAAACCTGATTACCATACCGACGTACAGCTTCTAGCACTTGCTTTCGATTTTGACCCTCGTAGCCCCATAAAAAATACGGGTGCCATTCGTGCCAAACGTTAAAAAATTTAGGATATCGCATAAAATCTTCCATGTGCGGTGGACATTGCTCGGTAAGCAACGGTGCCACAGTCAGTACGCAGTCGTTTCCAGTTGCACGAATAGCAGAGTATGCTCGTTCGTAGTAGTTACGAAGTACATAGTGCTCGGTTGGATGCTCTGGCTCATTCAGTAGGCCAATGCCAAGAAATGATGGACAGTTGCGGTATCTTGAAGCCAAGAAGGTTGCTAATATGACGGTATTGTCGACATTTTCTGGGTATTGGCCCCAATATTTGGCACCGCTGTCCACTGCAGCGCTGTGGTCTCGGCCGTTTTGGGACCCTTTTGCTGCGTGGATATCCACGATAACGGCTAAATCGTACTTCACACACCAATGATTCAACAGCTCGTCCAGGTACGGCATCGCATGGGGAGCAAACACCGTCCACTCCTGCTTGTTGGGAAAGTCTGTTGGGTCAAAGCCCATTATCCAGTAGCCGACAGGGACTCGTACCGTGTTTAGACCAAAACGCTTTATCTCTGCAATATCGTACTCCGTAATCCACGTGCGTCGATGTTCATCAAAGCGCCGATCGCCTTCTTCATGGCCTAAAAATTTCATAGTGGCAAATTCTCCTTGATTTTTAATTTCATCAGGCACGCCGTGCCACAGACACGAGTCCCAAGTCATCCAGTGTTCAGCGACAAGCCAGCCACCAAGATTGACACCTCGGCATGGAATATCGCCGCGACGCAGTCGAGCTTGAAGCGAATCAGGTGCTGCACACGACATTATTGGTAGCTTTAGGAATAAATGCAACTGACCGTTAGTATTGATTGATTTGACAACCTACTAATATGTTTTGACAATACTTGAGAATGCATGGCACTGTGTATAGAAACGTGCTTTATATCAAAGCAATGATAAAAATGAGGTTAAGAACAATCTATAGATTCTCAGCAGTGTGAGATCAACCGATCAATCGTTTGCGTATGGTTTTCCATATCGATGGTTTCTTTCGCCAGACGTGTGGTTTACGAACATAGGGAGGTTTGCCCATACGTATGAATACTCACAATGACTTCTAGTGTTCAGTAACTGATAAATAGTGCCAAATGTATACGGCTAAAGTTCCGTACTAAGATGTACACCACTTTGGGATGCAAAGTTATATAGTTTTCTTATGACATAGAACAGAAGTGACCACCCCACAGAAACCACTGCGCCTGGACTTTCACTTCTCTCTCTACACTTTCCCGTGCCTGCCATTCATATCATACTTGTACCGGATGTCCCCTCTCGAGCACCGAATCGAATATCTCGACGAATCCTCTCGAAATGCGGAGATTCTCGATGAGGAATACGAGGTGAATTCAAACGAGTACGGTCGTAGTGACTCTTCATGTCCAAACTGATCACTGTCGCCCCCACGCGACAATTCACAGCCTAGCCGTATCCCAAGGAGAAAACACTCAGCTCGGAACCTCGCTGCCTTATTATATCGGCGTGAAATATTGTGACACCCTACCGTGGAAGTAACAACGATGTCCAGTTTGTTACCAATGATAAGAATCTGGTTAAAGGAGCCCGCCTCACTCTACTGCAAGTGCAAAAGTCACGCGGGTCCATTCCGATTATCACACATCATGATTGCGCTTTTGAATCGTCTGATGTCGCTCACCGCGTTGATGAAGAGATCGTGCAGGTCTATGTTTGAATGCCTTTCTCTCGCTTAATACCGTGATCACATGCTTGATAAGGCGATGGTTGACCCGTGACGCTGGCGTCGAGGTCACAGCTGATCATCTCCACTTCTTACAGGTTATCGGTCCCCTCGTCTCCATGAGACAGAAGTAACAGCTGCAAACAAAGATTTTTTTTCACAGTGATGTTGGCAGTCTTGAGCTAGAGCGATACGCGCATTGACGGGCAAAAAAATCTTTTACATGAGAGATATGGGCCAACGGTGAGCAAGGTCGTCCGTAATACAAGGACAGGGCGATTTCGCCGAAGTGTAAACATAGATTTTTGAGACTTTTCCGAGTGAGGACATCCTATTCACCTATTCAAGCACTCGTAGCATCCTTAGTGTAATCGTCGGCTCACCAAACGTCATACGCGAAAGTTGGCAAACCCTTTCTCCTCGAGCAGTGCAGCCGAAAGTCAACTCATTCCCGGCTACTTCTTTTAAAATCTGTTATTTGTGGCGACTCGCTACTCTCTTGGATAGTCTCGGCGTGCGTCCGATAAAGAATAAGAACAGAACTCTCTCTGCATTTCGCCATTGCATTGCCTGGCTTAGTATCCCTCCACCGGAGACTGTAGCCTCTGCATGTCCATGAAGGTGAATTGTATTCAAAACTGTAGATAGAAATCCGCAAGCCAGTTTAGAGCCAGACTGTCGTACTGGACTTAGAGTAGGCAGCAATTAAGAATCTGAATTCACTTTAAACAAGTCTGAGAAACACTTGCAAAAGGTTATGAGCCTAAGTACGACCAAAGACAACGCCACACTCTGCAAAGATAACTACTCCGTGAAGGAGTTCAACGCTCGGATGAAGCTCGCGAAGAAAGGACTGCTCAAACACATCGACACAACGAAGGCCCCGAGTGAAGATGACGCTGCGACGTCAGGATAAAAACCCAACGAAATGAAGGCCTTCGCAATTCTGTCGATAATAATCAGTCCAAGCTTACAGTCAATAATACGGGCTGCACAATCGACAGCTTAAACGTGGGGGATTTAAGAAAAAATCCTTCGTCGAAGCATTAACAATCGAATTCAGATGCGTCGTCAACTGCATGGTTTCAAAATGAAAAAAAGTGGAGATGTAATGGATCACTTTCTCAAGTTTGATGAGTTGTGCCTTCAAGGCAAGTCATTGGTGAAGAAGTGACGCACGACGAACAACTTGTGATTCTTCTTGGGAGTCTACTGGAAGATACGACTCGATTGTGAAAATCATCGAAAACATGCCCAGAATAGATCTATTTCAAGCCAGGAAACGCTACGGCGAGAGTGTGAAAGTATGAATCAAAAAGAGAGCAATGAGATTGCTCTTGAGGCGACTTGAGACTTCGAGAGCAAAGGCCCCCGACTTAAAGAGAAAAAGCGCAAAATTTCTGGAAAATGCTTCGTATGCAATAGACATGTGCACCGGAAGCAAGACTGCTGGGACAATTCAAACAACAAAAAGCAAGACAAACAGACTTTCATGGGATGTGAAGATGGCTCTGATGGATGGCTGCTCGACAGTGGTGCAAGCGGTCATACGTGTCCTTTTTAAGATGATTTTGATGAGTTTCGTCCACTCGACAAGCCGATTGCCATTTCAGCTGTTAGCGGTGGCAAGGTTTTGGTAGCCGGAATTGAGACGATCCGAGTTATACTAAAGAACAAGAAGCCAACTCGGATCCAAAATGTGCTTTACGTTCCAGATTTGGATCGAAGACTTCTGTCGATTCCAGCGCTGTCTGGAAAAGTGTTTCATGAAACATTCGGCAAAGCATTGTGTAAGATCAAAAATGATAACGAAGTTGCGACTCGATTGACTCAGAAGGGCAAGTTGTTTGTATTGAAGTGTAATCCAGTGGAATCTGCAAATACTAGCGAAGAGGTGGGTCAGGATACCAAACCAGTGGATCCAAGTGTGTGGCATGCCCGATGGGGACATTTGCCTTTAAAGACAATGAAGACTCAAGACGGGTGCATTAATGGATTCAAGATGAAGGAATCGATTGTCATCAAAGATGACGAGGGCTATGACATTTGTAAAGGATGCGTGAATGGCGAATCGTCGGTAAAGCCGTTCCCAAAGTCAAGCTACGGTGAAGTGAAGACCACATTAGTGCTCCAACTCGTTCACATCGATGTGATGACCCCGATGGTGATAAGTCTTAAGGTGGAGCAAGGTTCATCGTAACGTTTATCGACGATATTTCGAGACTCGTTACGGTATCGCCCACAAACCGGAAGTGGTGGATCGATTTATCGAGTAGAAGTCAATGATGGAGAACTAACTGAGAGCCAAGATCAAGTGAGTTCGCATCGGCAATTGTGGCGAATACATTAACAAACATTTTGCTGGAATGTATCAAAAGGCCGGTATCATCCACCAAACAACGGTTCCGTATTCGCCACAACAGAACGGAATGGTAGAACGGACGAACAGAACAATCACGGAGCGAGCAAGATCGATGCTAAATTATATGCAAGTTAAAAGGAAGTGGTAGGTCGAAGCTATGAACACTGTAGTATATGTGACCAAACGAGTTCTGTGTGCCGCCCACCCAAAGAAAAAACCGTTTGAAGTGTGCTTCGGTGAAAGGCCCAACCTTTCATACATGCAAGTTTTTGGATTTCTGGGCTATGCACACATTCAGAAGGTAAAGCGTGTCAAGTTTGACAAAAAACATACAAATGTATGTTCTTGGGGTATTCGGATCAATTAAAGTATATTGTGTATGGAACTTAGAGTTGAAGCGAGTGGAGATAGCACGTTCAGCTGTGTTTCAAAAAATACCAAAATCGAAGTACGTGCAAGTCGTTAGTGGTGATCAAGTTCTCAACGTATACAAGATGATGATGATGAAGATTGCCTACAAGTGCCTGTGGTATCAACTCGCAGCAATGTCGAACCAATGATTGTAGACCAAACTGGAACCGACACAACCAACGTGCCTCCAAGCGGTTCAAGTATGACACTAGTTACAATCACCTCTCAGCATCCAAGATCCGTGTATGAGTCCGACCCGCTATTTGATATTAATGATGACTGTATGGAATCGGGTGAAATCAAGGTGGAGCCGAATCTGGCAAGTGTGTCCAGGGACAGATTGGAAGCGATCGAGGAATCCCTTGGGTTCCGATCGCCTCACAGCGGTGGGCGCGTTGCACCAATTGCATTACCACCAAGTCAGAATTCCCAAACGTTGGTTCCAGTCCAAAGGACCGACACGATCTAATCATGGACAAATGAAGAACAAGTGGAATGTGCTCCGAAGCGCTATCGTCTCGAATATGAACAATCGAATGCAACTCTCAAAATTCCAGCGACGTATCAGGATGCATTAAAGTCAATGCAGTCAAAGATGTGGTATTAAGCAATCAAGGCTGAGTTGAAAGCGTTGGAAGAAAAAATGGTGAGCGGTGCAACAGACACTAAGTCAGAAAGTGATAGGACTTAAGTGAGTGTTTGCATTCAAGTACAAGCGATTCAAGGCTCGACGTGTGGTTATCGACAAACCTATGGTGTGGACTACTCGGAAAGGTATTTTCCAGTGGCAAATTTGAACACGATTTTCGTCTTTCTAGCAGTATTTTGCCATTTTGGTCTGTTCATCCGACAGTACGATGTTGACACTGCGTTCCTTAACGTTTTTCTCAAAGAAAAAGTGTACATCTTTCCGCCCCAAGGTGTTGAAGCAAAGTCAAACCAAGTCTTTTAGGTTAATCGAAGTCTATATGGATTGAAACAAACTGCAGCGACCTGATTTAGGACGATCTCAAGTGTGTTTATCGATATGGGTTTACGGCATGTGTTTCAGACTCGTGTATTTTTATTCGTTAAGTTGAAAGATCATAGGTGTACGTGACCCTGTTCGTTGATGACATGCTCACTGTAGCAAAGTCGGTTGACCTGATCAACACGGTTACGGATGAACTCTCCAGTCATTTCAAACTCAAGATATTGGAAAACGTTATTCTTGGCAAAGACGTCGAGTACAAGCAGCGGTCGAAGAAGCTGAAAATAAGCAAAGTGCATGCGTGGTCAGAATGGTGGAAAAGTTCAATCAAGTTAATGTCAAAATTTAACAAGTGCGATGGACCAATATCTGAACAAGTGCAAAAGGAGTGATCCAAGAATGGAGAACCGTCCGTTTCGATCTCTTGTCGGATCACTCCTACACAATGACGATATTCCCGAACGCGCCTATGTGGCGAGTGGAACAAGACCCGACGTTGCATTCGCGGTATGCTAGCTAAGCCGGCATTTTGAACAACCAAGTAAGGAACATTGGAGTGCGGCTATTCGTATGCTGCGTTGCCTCAAATCAACTGCGACAAAAAGAATCTGCTATCAATGTCTTCCTGGAAAACTCGAACTAAGTGCATATGCGGATATCGACTGGGCAAGTAACAAAAACAACCGTCGTTCGACATCAGGCATCATGGTCATGATTAACAAGTCCCCAGTGATATTCTAGTCAAAGCTACAACAAAGTGTGGTACTCAGCACTGCCGAAGACGAATACGTGGCTCTATCACTATGCATTCAAGAAGTGCTTTGGACAAAGGGTTTATTGTCTGCACTGAAGATAAAGATCGATTATCCAGCCATTGTGCACGAAGACAACCAAAGTGCAATTGCTATTGCTAAAAATGACGGATATCAGAGTCGAGCCAAGCACATCGATTTCAGGTACCACTTCGTCCGTGACCAACTCAAGGCCAAGTCGATCGACCAACAACACATCAAATACAAGTATCAACTTGCCGATTTCCTGACCAAGCCGATTTCGAGGAAGAAGTTCCTGCAAATGTTGGCCAAGACAAACATGAGAAACCTCGCGTCGCGGGGGAGTGTTGATGATTGTCAATTAGTGGAAACCAAGCGTCGTGATGTAAAGTACAAGTGCGTATCTCTTACCCAGAACTGTGCGGAAGACAAATAGTGGGCACTTCGCAGTAACCATATGTTTGGAGGCTTGTGGATAGAAAAAAATTTAAATCCACATGCCAGTTTAGAACTTATCTCTCGTGCCGGACGTAGAGTCGGCAACGAACTAAGGATCTGAATTCACATTTTCTTACTCGGACACAAGTCTGCGAAACGCTTGCAAAACAATAAACCCTTAACATAGGATAGGGTAATGCCATAAAGGCATGGGCAAGCACAAATTCAATGTCAAGAGAAACCTGTCTCACCACCATCGCCTCTTCGCATAAGTGCTTCAAAGTATATTAACCAAAGCGCGATTTACGCGTGCTATCTGCGCAGTTGTACACCTGCACTGCTATGCATTATCTCGAGGCTTGTTGTACTGTAGCACTAACCCACGCAAAGCACTGTGTGTAATGGTACCTTGTTACAAGCTTTTTAAGTACGTAAAACTGTACGAGGCATATCATATTCTTTGTAAAGTAGAAATGTACTGCCCGACGAGTGCTAGGTATTGGTGGCTCAATATGTATACGATAAACACAGTCAGCGATGATATGACTGATGTGGTTCCTCGATAGATATTTTGCCAAGATGTCTTACCATTAGTCACTTTATACGATTGAGATCCGCGCTTCGACGTGAACATTGTATGAAGTGCAAGACACCATGTTGAATATGCCAAAAGCAGGCCATCCGCAAACAAGCAGTATCGGCTTATTGTGGTATTAGAGGTGCATTCGCGTCACCCCGACTATGAATATGGCATATCAAAAATGGTACACCGACAACTGATAAGACGTAACGTACAGCGTACAAGTCAGACGCAAATTTAGTTGCGCTGTTGGAAATCTCAAAATTTGCCTCATGAAAAGTGCCAGGTTATACTTATACTAGGCAAAGATGAACTGCAATTTTGCCATTTTTTGTGAGAATATAGTGACGACGTCGCGGTGCGCAAATGCATATTTGTATAAAAGAAGAACGGCATAGAACATAGAGCATGGAGCATAAAGCAAAGACCATAGAGTATAGCAGGTGCAATCTGATCTATCTGGGGACACACCTTATTGCATGTAGCCCCTTCGCCTGAGGTACAACAAAACTCAGTGCTTTCTTCGAAGATGCGGAGCACTGAGCCGCGGCCGAAGAAGGTACACAAGGCGAGATGTGTTTACATCTGTAAACAAGGCATCTAAAGGAACTGTGAAGCTGCTCAGAAAAAGCTAATCCCCCCTCATTCTCAGCATGGCTGAAGTTCATCGCCTCGGCTTCGCTCGTACAGCCCACATTTTGTTCCCGTAACATAGAGGGTGTCCTAAGCATCAAATGTTATGCTCACTGCTTCCTCGGATGAAGTAGGATGGACGTGAAAGCTCGAGATGCATGCTGCGCTCGTTCAGCGAGCTCTCAACTTTGGAAAAGGATCAGCTGCGATAAAAGTTCTCATCGCCGATTCCTAATCCGTAGACAAGAACTTCGAACACAACTGATATGCCTAGTTGGGTGGTGCGAATACTTGGTTCTGTATCACTCATCCTTTAAAAAACCTATTCTAGCGAGTTAATTATTGTAAAAACTGGTTTTTCCACGCGACATCTCAAACTGGAGATCGTACGAGTGGCGCGCTCTTGTTTCGTCCGGAAAATAGCCACATCCACAATTATCCCGACCTTTCTCTTCCTGGGGAAAGTGTACCGTCTCTTTTAGACCAGGATGCCAAACTTAACGGCCATGTGGTGTAAACAACTTTCCCCTCATCAGAACCATGCTGGGGCGCTCATGGACATGCCACATCAGCGCATTCTAGTGTTATCGCGTGTACGCGCTGCGCACACACGATTACACTACTTGCTCCGTTATAACTCCAAAGCCCGGGAAAGTTATGTTAACAACTAGCTACCTCTCTAGGAAGGAGCCATTTCTTTAAGGGCTGGATTTTGTCGACCTCGATCTCCACAAGGTACACTAAAGCCCAGTTCCTTCCCAATTCGCTGCCTCGTTTCTACAGGGACTTGACATTTTTTCGTAAGGGGTAAGTTTGTTTGTCTTTGCGTGGAAGCCCAACCCATCAAACCTCTCAGCCAATTGTGAAGGGAGCACGCAAGATGCTGAGGTTTTAAACCTTAAGAGAAAAGACGTCCGCGGGTAAGCTCATCAACTCTCGCGTCATTCTCAGCCATTCTCAGTAGAAACTGGCAAAAGGATTCCCTGCATATTCGAGCAAACGTACAAAGAGTATCTTCACCATATGAGTGTATGTGCCTGTCACAAGTACAAATCATGATCAGGTCACTTTGACAGTGAGATTTGGCGTCTTTTTCACGAACTTCCACCGGTTAGAAGCCCACAATTCCGGTATCAGCACTGCTGAAATTTCAAGATAGACCCAGTTGTGGCTCCTACATATCGCTATCAATCGCCACATTTTGTCTCTTCTGTGGGCCGACGCCTCTTGCAATGCCCAAGAAAGGCCGGTAGCTCTATTTCAATGTGGCCATGAGGACGAATCTGGTTTCGCCATTGCTGAATGCGACGAGGCAACAGGTGCTGAGATAGCAGTCACGTGCTAGTTTTGTACGTAGTCCGGAGAATCTTGGAGCGTAACGCAAGCGGATGTCGCACGCACGCATCCGTTTCGTTGTGATGTGAACACGCGTCATCATGAGATAGCACATCTAGAGAGCTGGGCAGAGTTCCAACAGATCACTACAGCGGAGAAGTTAAGATCGTTTGACAAGGCTGTGAATCATGCAAACTCCGCTTTTAGTCCACTTCGATAGCCACGGAACACTAACTCTGACATTTAGCCGCGATATTGCTGAAAATGTGATTGGCGGCCTGCTGTTTGGTCAAGATTATGAGTCGGTCCACCACACGCATGCACGCATTCTGTCCGTGTTTCATCGCACAGAGATGCGTCACCGAAAGAAGACGTCGAGGCGTTTTCTGTCAAGGTTTAGTCTGTCGGCTCAAAATGGTCTTCGGATTTGGTTTGAAATGATCGTCGTTCCAGAGTGTGTTCAGATTAATTGATGTTTTGAAGTCGCAAAGATCAGCTACTTGCAAAGCTGTAGTGAAAGCGACTGTGCTACATATATCCTGATCCTCGGCGCTAACAGTCTACAAGATATTAATGATGTCCTTTATGCTGTTGAGCGTACTTCATTTTGCTCAACATTGGGCACGCACAAAAATTGTCGCTTTTGGATGTTTGGATTCGCTTTTGCACAGGTTACGGAACGCTAGTCGACATCAACGAAATTGCCCTGCCGTTACAAACACAAAACAGCTGGAACGCTATTTTTCGAAGTGTAAGGCTCTGAATGCCATCAAGGAGCTGGATCGTGTCCATCGGTACTGACGGCGAGCGAATCATCCCTGGCAGACTTTTGGGCAAGCAAACTCCATTTGAGCAGGCAGCGACGTTCCCTTAGGTACGCATTTGATGCAATCTCAGCCATACCGCCAATGTCGCTCAAAGAGGAGTACAGCTCTCCGGCTGATAATACGATCGTGATGACTCTGACTGGATAAATCGTGTATCTAGAAGGCAGCAAAATCTTACGGTCTGGATGAAGAATTTGTGTGTTTTTGCTAATTGTCGATGCAACGAGTCCCAAAATGGGGTTAACAACAAGCTCATTTCACTGAAGCATGCTATTTTAAATGCCTGGCTAAAGGTTCTTTATAGTAGTATGATACAGTTGATGTTGTTCACTTCTGTTGTGGAGACTACATTGTGGTGTACGCTAATGATCTGGTCTTTAATCGCGACCAAAGCATCTTTGTAATTGATTCAATGAAGGCTCTTCCAGCGAGCGATACACAACAATAGAAATTTTTGTTGCCAATGTGTTTGTACGCGGGCATCAAGAGGGTCCTGGCTGTTTGCGAAGTGTGTTCTTCAGTGCCTTTACCGCTAGTTCTGCCTCATTCTCTGATCACGACTGCGATGATCCAGCTTCTCCGCCGGTACTACAGCGTGCCGGCCGGACACAAGTTCAAATAGACTAGGTCGAACAGGATTATCAATATTTTCCTGCTGCTTACCGAAGAGTGCCTGTACTTAAGAATACCTTAGATAACTGTTTGATCGCGAATTAGGGTTGCCGAGCGCTGTGCCAGAACAGATTTGCCTGGATACTCTAATTCAAGGCGGTCTGACTACCATGCTCCCGAACACCGCAAGGTTTATCGCTTACTGGATACGAGAACGACGAATATCACAACTCGCTGATCGACTTAGCATCGAAAGAGACCCCCGACTCTTACTAGTTTGACGATTTGAGCGCGTTACAGAGCAAGCAATGATACATTCAGACGCTTTTCCATAATAGCCCCAGGTACCACCCATTAGAGGCAGGTTGGTCCTTAACAGTGGGAATCGTGGGAATAGCGGGAATAATGGGGAATCTATCATGATTTCTCATCCTGGACTTTTTATTGGTTTCTCTAAGGACAGAAGACAATAGTTTACAATAAAATGATCCAGATACCTATATACGTGTTGATACATAAGTTACGCACGTTCATGGACAAGCGTAGTGTGATTTCTAGCTTCGAGCTCGCACTCCAAACTAATTGCTCGTTAATGACTAAAAAAAGGCCCTGCGCACAAACAAACAACCGCTTTCTTCCAGTGTAGCTCTGACTTTGGTGTGGTTGATACTTCATTTCCTTCAAAAGATGATCTATGATCATAATGTAAATCTGAAATAGTGTCTTGAATTTTCAACTTCTTGCAAGATCGCTTTATTGTTATTTTAAATCATTTCTCAAAATTAAATTTGTCATAACTTGCTAATTTCCGCCGCTTCTAAAGCACCGGCTATCTGTTAAACCTTTGTCTTTAGAATGTAAAACAATCCTTCTCGACAAAGTACATTTGGCGTGTTAGATTTGCTATCAGCAGCAATCCAATCACCCAGGATTTCGTCTGCTACACATTCGCAACGATTACTCATCTATTAGCGTGGCTGATGGAAATGCCATGCTGAAGTTGTGCCACCTAAATTCAGAGCAAAAACAAAAAGTTAATCGCATCCACACTCAAGTTGATGAGCTTTGCGAATACTGACAAGTAGGGGGTTGTGCAGCGGAACGACAGTCTCTATAGTCGAAGAAGTAGAAATCTTTGTATCCCTATCCAAATTCACTGGGTTATCGCTTTCGTCATCAGCAAAGACTTTGCTGACCACACCGCATCCCTCCACAATTGGAATTATTGAAGTCGGTGGCGGAATAGACAATAAACATGAGGTCACATCTTCACGAAAGCCACAATTACCATATTCTCCACCGTCGTTGTCTGGGCTCTCCCGAATCCAGTCGTCGTATGCCTTTTCATCGCATTCAAACTCCTGATCTTCGTCGACGGGATGCAAAGAGGCATATTTGCCAACAACATTAACGCCCAAAATCTTTTCCGGAATGAAGTCTCCGCATGCTGAGTAGTTTTGCATGAGTAACTTGGTGCATTGTCGGCCATTATTTTCTTGCAGCACGTGCACAGCCTCTGCAAACTCCATTTCATCGATACGAATATCATTCACAGCGACAATGTGATTGTCTGGACGGATCGTAACCCAATCAATGTCGTCACCAACGACAATGCCAATTCGTTTGAGCACAATTAATGGCTGGTCAGTTAATTCAAATTCCGGAATACTCTCCACCTCAACCACACGTTCATATAAAAACAATTCATATTGAAAAATTTCACCCACTGAAGCCTGCACCACTGCATTGCAGCCACTAGCGACTACTTTCCTCGACATTTTATTGATATCGCTCTTCACATACACAAACCGAACAGTACTGGTCGGTGGAATGTCCTTGGTACTAATAGTAAGTTGTCCATGTGCACCAGCAGGCACATAATGATACGACCCTGTCTTGATCTCTGTAGAGTTTTCTTCGGAAATAAGCACTTGAATATAATCTTTCACAGAATGTTGCTCTGGTACGTCGTACTCCACTGCATACAAGTATTACAATTAGTCTCAGATCATTCAGTGGCTTATTCACTTTATCCTACATGTAACAAACGATCCCTTTTCGACCTGTCCACCCATATCCAACTGTACGACACCACTTGGTCGAAATGCCAATAGCTTTATCGCATATGTACTTTTGTCGGTCATCTCATCTAAAGTTTCTTTAAGCTCTTGTGCTTGTGCCACCCACTCGGACATGTGTCCTCTCTGTAGTAAATCTTGCGGCAACAAACCGTAACTTTCTCTCATGGGTTTCGCCCCAGCATGGATCAGCATCTTGATAGCCATTGCATTCTGCACATAACATGCATGATGCAACGCTGTCCATCCATTTTCATCTTGATGATCGACATTTACTCTTCGTTGGAGCAACAAATGAAGAATCTCGGCTTCTTTAGGCATAAATTCCAGATCAGCGTCCTCCTTCACCTCGCTTACAGTTTCCTCAGCCTCGCTGTTGCTGCTCTCTTGGCTATTAGATTGCTTTGTCATGGCTGAAATCTCCTCGTCGCTGTCGCTAAAACCATGCGGATTATCAAATTCGTCACTTAAATTCCATTGCTCGCGCAGGTGCTTCAAGCTAGCAACGGCTAAAATCAGTGGCGTCCTCCCGTTATCGTCAGTGGCTTCAAGTTCCTCGTCTGTCGCTGTTTTGAGCAATCGATGTACCTCTACGAGGTCTCCGTACTCGCATGCACTGTGTAGCGTTACTGTGTTTCCCATCTTCGAATGAGGCACGTTCGGGAAAGTGCTAATCAATAATGAACGCTCCCGATATTAATTAACGTCCGACGTCGCGCCTGGCGCTTGCCACGTGTATGATATAGAATAGGCTTGAGCCAGTCCTAAAGATAGGGCAAGCACGCTAGATTATATCGCTTGACAATACAAAACGAATGCTACGCGTTCATGACAAGTGCGAGGACTGTATGCAAGTATAGATTGTTGAACAATAACAAGTGTGTTGTATACTGTGTAGTGTGCTTCTACGCTCTGTGTCGATACTGCCTGTGCTTATGGTGATGGCAATCTTGTTATTAGAGTACTATGTCTTCATGATGGAGTACTGGATGCCAGAATTTCAGCGATCTGTGGAATTTGTTGTGCTGTGGAGATTATTCGAAGCATTCCTTTTCCACTTTGTAGTGGGATGTGTGCTCGTTGCGTATTTTAAAGTTGTGCTTACAGGTACGAATGAGTGAACAGAAGAGTGTGAAATAAGGGCTGACGTTGTGTGAATTGCAGATCCTGGATATGTTACACCGACATTAATTCAATGCATGAAAGATGCGATGCAAGAAGCAATGGAAGAAGGAGGTGGCAAGACTCTACCGATGGTCAGCACCTGTCAAAAGTGTCATCTGCTTAAACCATTTCGGGCACACCACTGCAGCTTCTGCAACCGTTGTGTATTGAAAATGGGTATAAACAACATCTTGCTGTCAGATGTGGATGTAAATCTAATGCGCACAATTCAAACGCAGATCATCACTGCCCGTGGGTCGCTAATTGTGTCGGTCAAGGCAACTACAAATTCTTCTTCCACTTCGTCATTTATGCGTTCATTGCTTTATCTTTGTGCGTGAGGGCTCTTTTTGGAGATTTTCAGGCCGCTCTCTTCAGCGAAAATGCATCCCATGATGCCTCTAAATTTTCTGCCATGGCAGTTGTTGGGTTCGTACTGGCTGGTGCATTGGGAATTAGTCTGCTGGGTTTCATTGTTGTTCATTCTTACCTTTTGATCCACGGTGCTACGACGATTGAATGCCACGAGTACGGCCGTGCTTTTCCATTCAACCAAGGATGGAGGATGAATGTGAACCAAGTATTTGGCGAGACGAAAAAAGATTGGTTTTTACCGACAACGCCTGCTCAGAAGCAACGCTACGTTTTACATCCAGCGGAATTAAAACATCTCACAGCTGACATTTGCCTTGGCAATGACGAAGATGACACCTTGTTATAGGAAAAATTATCAATGATTGTTTCATAGTATTAGATTAATTCCCATTTCCATTCGTTCCAACTTCGAAGAAGCAACAAAGTGGGATAAATAACATCTCACTGAGATGGAACTTCTCCTGCGTGAAAGATAAGAGATACACTGTTTACGCAGTGGCGCTCGTTTGTAGGCGTCTTAAATCCTTCTCCTTTAAACACATGGCCCATGTGGCTTGACATTAAATAAAAATTAGTATGACAGGTAAGAGCGTTCAAGCTGAGTGGTCACTAAAGTTGACTCACCCGTCGCACTTGGCACACATAATTTCTGTACGATATCCATCAGCATCAGCTACCGCCTGCATCATTGGCATAATTTGGTAGTTACAACTTCACAATCATACTACTCATCATTAACACTTATAGTAGCCATCTGCAGCGCACCTTAATCGCGCCGGGGATGGCGTCATAGAAGGCCGGCCAGCCACACCCTGAGTCAAATTTGGTGGCGGACGTGTACACAGGGTTCTTGCATCCAGCACAAACGTAAACACCCGTTTCCTTATTCTTAATGTACTCTCCAACACCAGCACGTTCTGTGCCCTTGAGTCTCAATACTTGAAACTGCATGGGTGTCAGACGCTGCTTCCACTCCTCGTCCGAGAGTTTTACAATATTGTTATTAGTAGTTGACATGTTGCTGAATAAGGAAGTGCAAGTTAAGGCTGGAAATCTTCTACTTGCTTCGAAGGGTGATACAAAGTACGAGCGCGCAGCAGAAAGAGAGAGCAACGACTGCACCCACTTCATCCAAGAAGAAAGTTTTAAATTAACTTAAATTTAAGCGGGTTAGATAAAGAAATGTGACGTGTATTTAAGCTCACAACTTGTAATCGAAGACCTCCTTATATAAAAAGAGGCAGTATGGTCTTATCAGAGCTGGGGTCAAAGCTACAGGGTGCGCTGGCCAAGCTAAACCGCACGATTGTGGTAGATGATGAAGTGTTTAATGTATTGCTAAAGGAAATATGCGGTGCGCTGCTTGAGTCGGACGTACAGGTGAAGCTTGTACGCCAGCTGCGGGACAATGTCAAACTCGCCGTTAAACTTGAGGATACGAGCTCTGGTATTAATCGCCGCCGTCTAATTCAAAAGGCGGTAGTAGATCAGCTAGTTCAGATGCTGGAACCAGAAGCGCCACCTTATAAGATGAAAAAGGGCCAGAGCAATGTCATTATGTTTGTGGGTCTTCAAGGAAGTGGCAAAACCACGAGCATTGCAAAGCTTGCACACTATTACCAGCGCAAAGGCTGGAAGACTTGCATGGTCTGTGCCGATACATTCCGAGCTGGTGCTTTTGATCAGTTGAAACAGAATTCTACCAAGTTACGCATTCCATTTTACGGTAGCTACACTGAGGCGGACCCAGTTCGTATTGCTGAAGAGGGTGTGGCCCAATTTAGAGCTGAAAATTACGAGCTGATTCTTGTAGATACCAGTGGTCGTCACAAACAGGAAACAGACCTGTTTGCTGAAATGCGAGAGGTCTCAGCGGCCGTGCAGCCCGACGATGTCGTGTTCGTGATGGACTCGACAATCGGTCAGGCCGTGTACGATCAGGCTAGAGCCTTCCGTGATACGGTGAATGTCGGTAGTGTCATTATTACCAAATTGGATGGGCACGCTAAAGGTGGAGGTGCTCTAAGTGCCGTCGCTGCAACAGGCTCGCCCATTATCTTTTACGGTACAGGAGAACATTTTGCCGACTTTGAGGCGTTTAATGCCGAGAGCTTTGTCAGCAGACTCATGGGTATGGGTGACATTCGTGGACTTATGGAGGAAGTTAAAACTAGTGGGATGTTTGACAATGAGGAGGAGATTGTCGAGAAGTTCCAAAAGGGCGTATTTACACTGCGTGACATGTACAAGCAATTCCAAAGCGTCATGAAAATGGGACCTCTTGGCAAAGTTATGTCCATGATCCCTGGCCTTCCACAAGGTCTTAGCGACATGATGAATTCTGGTGGTGGTGAAGAGGAGGCATCCAAGCGACTTCGACGCTTTCTATTTATGATGGACAGTATGACGGACGCCGAGCTTGATGGTCTCGTACCGCTGTCGGATTCGCGCAAAGCGCGAGTTGCTCGTGGATCAGGCTGTCAGCTTGTGGAGGTTGATTTCCTCCTTAAATGCCACAAACAGTTTGCAAATGTCGTCAGCCGCGTGGGAAAAAGTGGTCTTATGAAGTCAGGCGACGCAGCGTTTGGCAAGCAAATGGCTCGTAATCCGAATGCAGTTATGCAGCAGCTGTCAAAGGTCATGGATCCAAAATTGATGGCGCAAATTGGCGGACCGCAGACTATGATGCAAGTGCTGAAGCAAATGCAAGGAATGGACAATAATGCACTAGGTGACATGGCTAAGATGGCGCAGGGAATGGGCATGAAGATGCCCTTTTAGATTCATTTGACTACTTTTAACTAGAATTAAAGCAGTTGGACGAGGAACATATATTCGTTGACTTTGACACATTGATTCATTGCGCTGGAAGGTACTTCTCACTGAAAGGCCTAAGAGATTGTTATTGGGGAGTCGTGAAAGAATTCGAAAGCACTTCATAAGTCGTCAGTCTAAAGCTATAATTGTCCATGAATATTGCATGATGTAACGCACTCCTTTGGTTTGAGCAAGTGTAAGTTTCTACCTGCTGCTAGACGGACGTAAATTGTGGCGTTCTGATCGGTGGATGCTGGTTTCTTTGATTATTGTATGCTGTTACTTGGAGACGTGAAAGAATTCGACGCGCCGTCGGTGATCGACAAGTGATTTAAAAAATCTCGCTTGTCCATGACACGCACATTGATCTATCCTATGCGTAAAAAGGTTCAAGATATTGCGACGGTGCAATTACCTTCGTTGGCAAATCAATTGCCTACACAATCTAGTCTTGATGGCTCGCGCGCTAATACTGCATCATGTGTAAGAGACACGCGTCTTTCATCACAACGCTCTTCTGCTACCGATTCACGCTCTCTTGATCGAGCTGCTTCTGTGGTAAATTTTGTTCAAGATTGTGCACGTTCCATCGCAAAAGGCCGACCACGCAAACGCAAGCTACAAAGATCGACTTCAAATTCTGCACTGTTCTCAGCGCCACGCCGAGGTCGCCGAAATGGTCTCGTTCCAGTTGCACGTGCAGACAGGATCACATACAGTCGCTGGTTTATCCAGCCTCGAGCCACTTGGAAAGTCCGATGGGATATCTGGATTGGATTCATCATCGCGTATAGTGTCATCCTCATTCCGTATCGTATCGGCTTTGGTATTGAGCTTGCGGTAAGGGCTGAATATTGCTACGATCTCTTCGCAATGTATACTGACTTCAGCTCGATCTCTCTTTTAGGCTTGGGAGCAATATCTTAACTATCTCTTCGATAGCAGCTTTGCTGTAGACGTGATATTAAATTTTTTCACTGGGTATTTTGAAGAAGACATTTTAGTGTTTGAGCTTCAGAAGGTTCGAAAGCGATATTTACGCAGTTGGTTTCTTTTTGACGTGGCATCGACTATACCTCTCGAGCAATTTATGGAAGTGATGACCATTGCATCGTCTTCACTGCTTACACTTAAATTGATTCGCATTTTTCGGCTATTTCGGCTGCTGAAACTCATGCGTTTGCTGCGATTAAAGCGTACAATGGAAGCCTTACAAGTTGACGCTCTTAATGCACATGTACTGCAAACCATCAAGAGCTTGCTTATGATCATTTTTATCATTCATCTTGTCGCGTGCGGGTGGTATATGTTTTATACGTGGGATCCCACGGGTAAGAATTGGGTTACGCACAGCGAACCAGAAGGCTTTGAACATCCATATCTCGTGAGCTTTTATTGGGTTTCAAATACCATGATGTCTGTAGGGTACGGTGACATCTACGGAGTTACGGACGGAGAACGGCTGTATTCAATATTTGTGGCCTGTCTTGGCTCCATAAGCGTTGGTATGATCATTGCTAATATACAAATGCTTACGGAGAACTATAATCCTCGTGGCAATATGCTGAAGCAAAAGCTACAAGATGCAAAGGAGTTTTTAATCAAACGGAGCATTCCACGACGTCTTCGACAACGTGTGATCTCGCAATTTGAGTTTCACTGGAGCCGTCGCACCGTATTTGATGAAGGTTTCTTGTTGCAACAGTTCCCAAAGAATCTTCAGTACGAAATTCTCGCGGCCTCAATGGAGTCGTTTGTCAAAATATTTTCTTTCTTTGGAATGACGTCGGTTGAGTTTTTTGTGTTTGCAATTCCCCGGCTTCGACCAATTGTTCTGGGGCCAGGCCAAGTTCTTGTTGATGCCGAAAGTGTGTGGGAAGAATTATATTTTTTGACATCAGGAATTGTGGAAACCGTGCAGTCGAATCTAGTTGTCGGTTCTTTGTCGCCCGGCGACATTTGCGGCATTGAGTATCTCGTTAACGCTCGTAGACGTTACACTCACACCTTTCGCTCCGCCTTGAAGACAGAGGTGTATGCAATGTATAGCAATGATTTGCTCGAAGCGATTGGAAAGTGTCCAGTGGCTCACAAATATCTTGAAGATCTCGCTGTCATTGTCGGAGAGCGATACGAAGAGTGTGCGAAACGTGGAAGGCGTGCACTCCAGCGAAAGCGCTCAGAGCGTACGATTCGACGCGAAGCCTTTACTAGGGGAGGGCCGTATCTGCACAAACGACGTCGCAAGTCAAATTCAACGATCAGTCTTCACACAGTGTCGTCCGATCTTATCAATAGAATGGACACGAGTGTTGCTGGTGATGACAGAGTGACCCACTGGTCTGTAATTCGGCACTATGCTAAAGCGAGAATTGCATGGGATATTGTCATGGGAATTTTGGTCTCTATTACGGCAATTACAGTTCCTTTTCGAATTGCTTTTAATGTACAAGACGTGCTCGCGTTTTATGCCACGGATCGAATTGCTGACGTGCTGTTTGTAATAGATGTCGTTCTTAGCTTTTGTACCACATACGTCGATGATATGGGAGTGGAAATTGTCGATCGCTATGAAATTCGTCGACATTATCTCAAAACTACTTTTTTTGTTGACGTAGCTTCCACAATACCCTTTGACTTCATTGTCGAGGCAGCTGCGACGGGCAATATTTTTGCATCCCTACGTCTCATTCGTACGCTCAAATTGATCAAACTGCTTCGACTCATGCGGTTGTCCAAATTGATCAAAAGAAATTCCCAATGGATGGCCGAGTTTGATATCAATGTTGACACTGTCCGACTTTTGAAATTATTAGCCCCCGTGATGATCATTGCTCATTATGTCGGATGCTTTTGGTATTATATATCAGCAGACCGACCTGCTGATGATGCTTGGTGGGGAATTGAAAATTTACATTTCGAAGATCCAGATTCGATCTTATCTAAGTATATCGCCAGTATCTATTGGGCAATCACAACAATGACAACTGTTGGATTCGGAGACATTTATCCTGTCAACAACCTTGAAAAAGGCTTTTGCATCTTGGTATTAATCGGCGGTACTACATTGTTTGCTTATGTAGTAGGTACTGTCATCGAAGTGGCTAGCAACTCCAAGAGCTTGATGAATCGAGAGCATAAGATGGTCCAACGAGTAAATGCTTACATCAAAGAACGCGGGGTATCGTCGGAATTTGTTGCGGCTTGTCAAGAGCATTTACGATTTGTGGATGCTGAGAAAACGTTTTTTGTCGAGAATTCGCTCTTTGACGCTCTGAGCTATTCACTGCGTAATGAACTTGTCTTGCATCTAAATGGAGGCATCGTGTCGAAGGTCCGTTTTTTCGACAAGAAACCAAAATGGTTTCTTACGCTCATCCTACCACGACTCGTACCACAATTTTTCATGGAAGGAGACATTTTGATCTATCAGGATAATCCTGTCAGTGGTATTTTCTTTATCATGAACGGTGCCGTAATTGCAAAAACGCGTCATTATGTTCCAGTGCCACAAGCACATGCGACGACACCAAGAGGCAAAAGCCAATCGATTAGTCCTATCATTGCGGATCATCACGGCTCAATTGCTAAGATATATGAAGGAGAATTCTTTGGGTACAAAGAAGTGTTGACGGAAACCGCAGCACGGTACAACTTGTATGCAATGCGACCTACAGGAACGTACTTATTACCGCGTGAATGTCTCGATGAATTTGAGGCCAAATATCCGCGAGTTATGGATGAAATTCGCTCACTGATTATCCAGTCGATTGCACGACAGCAGAAAATTGTACCTGGCTGGCACAATAATGACGCGATCGGACTCACCACTTTGGATCGAGATAGAGTCGCTGAGATCAATATAAGCCGCCGTGGGTGTGATGACGAAATCATTCGAGCAAGTGTGAATGGAGAATACATGCCTGCAAGAAGGCACTCGTCTTTTGCTAAACCAATTGGAACTACCTTTGAGAACCCAACTAACGCTGCTGCTGCAGCAGCATTCGCAGCTGGTGAAATCAAGACGAGTCTTTGCCACAACAATGACCAGGAACAAACAACTGTCGAGGTGATGGAGCACATGGCAGATATCAAACAACTGTCAAATCCATCATCACTTTCAGAAGTTCAAAATCCAAGAAAGTTTCCAATCTCGCTACCAGATCATTCAATACTTGGTGGGCCAGACATCGTACTATCTGATGCTTTAGTATCAGCCGAACGACCGGCTGTCTCGGCTTCATTTGTGTACCCGTCAGACATTAACAACACGATTACGAGCTCTGCTGGAGATTCAAATGTAGTCAGTTATATTGACTACAGTCGAAAAATCAATAGAAGTCAGCGTCAGCTTTCAGAACGCTACTTGTCCACGCGCGAAGATGAGGTTACTGAACTTGTTGATGATCTATTAAGCAAAGAAGGATTTAGGTGAGCTCGGACGACATCAAATTTCACGCAAAAAGTTACCAAAGGCACTGACGACGTACAACAGTTTTTCGTAGTGTAACTTATCAGTTAGTCGCAACCAGCTTTCTCCTCTTCATCCTCGTCATCTTCTGCATCGTATACAATCAATCGACTTGGGGAAAGAATAATGCACAAAATACCACGAGACGCGGTTGCAATCACAGAAGTCGATCCTTTGTTAGAGTGTACCGCAGGTAACGAAGCAACTTTTCTCCTTCGAAGCTGGTCAAGTTGAAACGTGTGACTTTGGTCGTGAATTTTGGCAGACTAACGTACAATTTTGGGCGTATCAGTATTCTGCGACAACAATGGCGTCGAAAAATATGATGATAGCATTTACCTCAAGAAAAGCTGCGGGATCAAAGCGTGAGAAATGAATATGATCGTATTGATGAAGATAAAGCCATCCTGACACATTTCAACAGCAGCACATGTCATTTAGCGTTGACAACATAATATCAACATTTTCCATCAGAAAACGTACTTTCAAGCACTTGGTCAGCATTTACATGATCGACGACGAAAGCAAGTCGTTCTGGTCTTTTATTTGATACATCTCCATAAAAATCAAATCCCTGGCAACTAAGTGATCTCAGAGAGTTTTTTGAAAAGCATATGACTGCCATTTCCCATTCCAAGCGAAAAGGTTGCGCGTGTACAGAATCTACCTGTTTCACCAGTAGTAAATCACCCGATCGTAGTCGAAATCCAATTAAAATTGTAAAATCACAATCAGAAGTATTCTGCATCGGTCCAAAATGTTTTAAGGCGTGCCAATCTACAGCCTCGTCATCACTTTCCTCATCTTCATTATCCTCTTCTTTTCTCTTGTCTTCAACATCATCCAAGTAATCAAGATTCTTTGAGCGGAAAGGTTGACGAAAGCGAATATGGCATTCCTCAAAGCTGGTGATGCAGCCAAAACATCCACTATTTTCCCGTACAACCGATCTTGCAAGTCTTCCACCGATCGCATCAAGCATAGTGAACCATGTTTCCTGAAGACTGTGAATGAGGAAAAGGCAACCTGTCGAGGTATTCATCACCTCATTCGTCTGTGTATTTGATTCCATTGATAGGTGTTGTGACACTGAATTTCCAAATGTAGTTTCAACTGTATATACACCACCATTCTGTTGATGTTTTCTAAATTCTTTTGCGACTTGAGCCGCGTGGTCTAAGAAATCGCAAAGACGCCGCAGGTTTAAAAGCGATTTTGTACCGGATGAACCTCCCGCGTCGCGAGCATGAGAACTTGTGTTTCCTTCGGATTGCGAAGAGCTTGTGTGAAAACGAATACGCTCGAGAATCCATTGAAAGAATAAAGAAAAGTCTTGGCGAGTCTCGTGTAGCGCCAGCGTCAGTGTCTCCATTTCCACGAGAAGATTCTGCGTGATCTGCACCAGATCATCCAGAGCATCTACTTTGATACCGATTGCGTTCACATAAGTCTGTGAATCCCACTTGAGATGACCACGTAATTCCGACACAAGAAATAGGAATTTGACCAAGTCACTCTTCATATTTTCATCAGCAAGCACTCTTACAATTTCACATCCATCAAATAGCGCTTTTTGCATGCGATGTACGCTCTAGCATACCAAGAGTACTGCAAGTTAGTTTTTTTAATGATGCTTCCCTGCAGATTATTCTTACCATCTCTTGAATATCTTGCGCAAAGTACTGGGCTAACGCAGGTGCAGTAATACCAGTCACAGCCAAGGACAGCATGTCTGCTTGTGGTGAGTCCTCGCAAGCGTACTTCTCATAGAGTGGCCCCATGAGTCCAACCTTTAATTCAAAAAGACGCATAGCATTTTTCCATTCCGTGACCATTTGGCGACCACCGGCAAAAATTTTCGTCACAATTGAGTGATTACGATCAACTGTACTTGCCACGAAATCCATGTCTTCATAGATAGACTGGATTGCTTTCATGTTTAAAGTGAGCACCCGTTGTATCTTTTTTCCTGACTGGCCTTCTATCGCGTTATCCTCTAGCTCGTTCGTCTGACTGCGAAATACAATTATAATCAACAAGACGGAAAAATCCGGGGCAAGATTCACCTTTTCAATACAAAAACCATTCGACTCCTCCCGCTGGTAACCCATTGTTTCCATAACTCTATACTCTTCCTCAGTGAAATGTTTGCTCACATCAAAACGCGTCATCAGCACTCTTCCATACCACCATAAAGCAATAAATCCTTTTTCATCTGCACTGACTAAAACTGTTTTGTCAGCTCTACTTTCACTCTCCAAATCCTCTAGAAAGCGAGTTGATCGATCTTGAAACTGAACTTTAGACTGAGAGTTTGAAGCAATACTTTTTCGACATCGCTGGCTATTTTGTGCGTCAAAACCGGAAACTTGTACACAGATCCAATCCATTGCGGTGATAGAACTTGTATGACAGAAACTACTGCGTCTTTTTGGTAGACTTTCTCCTGACTCTATCTCATAAATTGCCACATTTCCTTCGTTGCCACCAACAGCAAGTTGAAGACCATCGGGTTTCCAAACCATTTTAACCATTTCAAAGCCAACATCTGATGGTTTAATGTGTAGCAACTTCTGCCATGAGGTTGTACGCTACATATCATCATTAAATACATTGCAAAAGATTGACACGTTATGTATAAATGACGCACATGTACAAGAAGATGATGATCGAGAGTAAGAACTGCAATTAAATCCATAGTAGGGCAACAAGCTACCGCTAATGAGCTCACAAATCGGTCTTGCAGTGCTACAAAGGCGCAATTTGACGCCATGGTCGTCTTGATACTTTTTAAAATTTAGTTAAATAACTAAAAGTATTTATCAGGTTTTTAGTTCTTTTAGCGTTAATTTGTAGCTGTTTAAGAGTGGGCTATCCCAATTTTGAGCAACATCACATAAGTAAATAAGTGTAAGCCATTAAATTTTGCTATCCTATTAGTTAGTTAAGATCAGAGCGATGTTTCTTTAGTCTATTTAAAAATACAATCATTATCAGCTAACCTCCTACCGTGCGAAAGCTTGGACTTCATTAACTTGTTGTATGCCGCCTCCAACACCGGATTTCGCTTCTTTTTTAAGTTTTTCTTTCCACGAATTGGCTTATGAAGACCATGATGGTCTTCAAGACACCACGTAGTAAATTTTTCTTGCATTTCATTGTGATAGTGGGTCACCTTCTCAATATCTTCCAAATAATCGATAAAATCGTGTATGTCGTGAATGTTGAATGAGCTCCTTCGCGACTCATGGGTATTTTCTCTTAAACGATTACGATCGTCGTTCATTATCGCACAATTCACAACGCCACTGAATAAGAAGACGGCAATAGCAGCAAGAATGATGTCATGTGGTCGCATGATCAAAAGTGGAATTGGTGCTGACGTGATTGCTGCAGCGCAATAGTTGGAATGAGGATGCGGAGACAGGCATTACTTAGGTCGCTTAGACTATCGCGAACAGGATGTAGTCTAATTAGATTCAGGGTTTAGCTAATCAACAAGAGCTGTGCGAGACCAGACTGTCGTCTCAGAGCTGATTAGATTGCTTCTTTGGATTTGCTTTAAATGGGTTGAGAGAATGGGCCATAAAACGGCACTTTAAATACTGAGTATTTAACCGATCTATTTACGCTGTATTTTAAAATTGCTGCACATTTTATCACCATTTTGTCTCTTTATCAAGACGCTCATGGGCTGTTCTTCCGTAAGTCTTGCATGTGAGTTTGAGCAAAAATATTTCGCGTATGTTCTTCGCAATAATCAAGTGGTAGATCAGGATAAATGCTGCCAGAAAATTTTAAGACAGTGGTATGCTTCACATTGGTCGTGTTAGATTATTTTATAATAAAAGTATTGTCTGAACTGTTCAGTTTATAAAAAATCTAGCAGCTTGTACGCAGGACTGCTCACCATTTTGAGAACGAGATGATAACGCACACTTGAATTGAGATGTAGCGACTGCAATTATGGAGGGCACGTTGAGTTCAGATGTAGCCATCAATATTTTAACAACTAAAATGGGTATTTATTTCAGAGAAAGAGTTAGCTTTTTAGAGCAGAGAATGGATTAGCTAAGCCTTTTTATGAGCAACATGGCTTCTGCGTGTAGCCGACCAGACGACCGGGGTACGAACCCGCTCATAATCAAGTTACATCGAGGTTACATTCAGGATACCTTCTCATTTTCGTTTTCAGTGTCACCATCTCCATTGAGAGCGTTGCGATGATGCTGGATAGGGCTTTACAGGTGCATACAGAGACAGTAAAGCGATAGTCGAGTGAAAAGTATTTTAGTGAAGAACTCAATTCAACACAAAAGTTTGCTCGCCATGCAGGCTTGAGAGACTTTGCGGGAGTTTTGCAATCAAGATACTTCACATAAATATGTGTCAATCGCGATGGAAGCGACTTATAAGGTACAAGATCAAAAGCACAATAAGTAGTCAATGCAACGATAGTCAACCAAACTTGCGAAAAGAGCTAGTGTAATAGGAAAAGTGATCAAATCGGAGATTTGGAGTACAACCTCTTGAATAACAGCGATAGAAACGTGACACACGCGGGAATTGCAGACGTGTCATTTTCCACATCGGAGAGCTATGATCGTTGATAGAGTAATAACTAAGTCGACCCCATTCCAAATTAAATCGACGATCCTTTATGAGAACTTTTGCTGCGCAAGGTCTGAAGCTGAGTCCTTAGACTCTCTTGAGGAGCTCACTGCAAAAGCTATAGGCGAAAAGAAGATTAGTATGCTGAAATCAGATAGAGCTTGCTAATCAGATTGCTCTGAATTGCTAGAGTCTGTAAAAGTTGTGGCACGGTTAAATGAGCCATATGCATTGGCAAGAACGTAGACAACGAAGCAGCTTGTCAAAGCCTTATGTTTCAAATGTAAATAAAGCACGCGGAAACCCGGTTTTGTCGCGTGATCGATGTCCAGGAAGCAGCATGGACAACTTTATACGGACTAGACGAGATTAAAATGCAATGGAAGAACGAAGCAAAGCTATTACTTTTGATTGTTAATTCAGTCTCTTGATATGTGGTCGGAATTTCTCAAGAAAAAGAGAGGCTGCTTTAGTGTTCAATGTGTATATAAGGCTCTCTGAAATAAATAGGGGCCCGCATGAAGTGTTCGCGCTTGAACAATACTTGTGAACGAGTCGCGTAAAGTTGAGAAAAGTCGTCTACTAGAAGAACTGTCCCCAGCAGCTGCAGCATTAATGAAGTAGCAAAGAGAATGATATGGCATCATGAAGAAGGCTAGACGAATGCTGCAACAGCTGGGGTCTCATTTGACTGGTATACGGGGGCTGTTTTCTGATCAACAGCCACTAGAACGCCGCAAGAAAGTGAGAATTGAGATCAAGAGTACGTCCTTACGCGTTTATGTTTTGGAGTCACAATCCGTGAAGTTCATGCAGTCTGACGAACAAAAGTGGTGGTGGTTGGATGTCAGGCCTGAGAGTGGAAACATGTATGTACATAATAAAGTTTTGACGCTCTAGCAGCCTCAAACTCGACCCGTTATCGACGAGCAGATCCAGCGAGACTGACATGGTTTTTTTACAAAAACATGGCATGAAACCATCTTTGACCATACTTGGAGTGACACGGCAAGCAATTAGTGAAGCAAAGATCATGTTTCCATGTGCCATCATTCAATCCTTCAGCAGGGTCACGCAATTAGTTCATTATCAACAGTGTTCCAGATAACGACGACCACTTCTAAGCCGCCGTCACCTAAAAATATGAGACGATAGTGAATTTATGAATGCCGATGATCAACCATTAGGCTACGAACAAGACACGATGCGTCATGCTGGCTGAAGGCAATCAAGTCTGAGTTGAAAAAGCATGAGTAAACGACATCAAAGACGGCGAGAATATGCGCGAAGAAGCGAAATGGACCCATACAAGCTCTCATAAACAGGCTTGTTGCCAGTCGTTTCAAGCAAAAAGTTTAATGTGATGTTTGTTTGAAAATGGCGGCAAATATGCATTTGATAGACGCCGGCTCTGCTTTTTGAGACAGTAGTTCTTATTAAAAGCGTGCGTGGAGACGGAGTTGTGTCACAGTACCACAATCTGTCTATAAGTCGTTGTTGAAAAAACTTGCAGCTGCAAGATTTTTCAAGTCAAATCGGCACCTGGGACCGTAATCAAGATGAAGAGCTCGGTGACGCCAAGCTCACTTTATAAATGTATTTACGTTATGATCAGTCAATCGAGACGCTTATTGTAATACAAATTTGCTTGGTATGATAAGAAAATCGAGACATGGATTGAAATTTTGGCTGTCAAGGATGCAGTGCGAAATGGGATGCAACACAAGTCCAGACACTTTTGTCCGAAGTGCTTCGGTAACCAACGAAAATATATTTGTTGAGGCGTGATGGCTTCACTTGCGATTTCTTACGAATCTAGACGAAAACTTGGCCTCATTCTTACAATGATACCATGAAGTGCTAAAAAAGGCATGTATAACCTTTGGCTAGAGCTTTTTGATGCGATTAGTCTAGCACCTGGTTTAATATCAGCATACTGTGGTCCTCACTACAGCACAGAAGAGTATACTTTTTAAATGCAAAAAAAAATCATTGGGATGTGTACCGTGCTCTAAGGCTTCGAATATGAAGAAGAGGAGCGACTTTCTGGAATGACAACCAAGAGGTAAGTATATTGAATTTAAACAAAGGCTTATAGTGGGATCGGAATGATAACCGTATGATATGGAAACAGAAGTGCTGGGCTCATCGCAAAAGGTCTAAGAAGTGTACAGATGTTGATACAGAAACGAGCGCGTAGAGGTCATTCTTCTCACCACGCACGTTGTCACTTCCCAGATGTATCATCTGCGCTTGGAGCAGCAGCATTCAAGAGAACCCATATCTTCCATGAAGGATGTACTATGGTACTGGAAGCTGGCGAAAGTGGCGTTGAGTATCAGACTCAGTCGACACCTCATTCTTGACTTTGCAAAAAACGGTGCAGACGTCGAGGTAAATCCCATCACTTCAAGCTCCTGTTCCTTACAGCTCTCTCGACTCAATAAGTCAACTGTAACAGCTATGGAACGAGGAGACTATTCACCGCATATTCGGTCCCCAACACTTCATGAAAGCGCGCGGCGATAAGCGACTTCGCTTCTTCTCCAAGGGGGGTGATGGCCGCAGGTACTTCGGGTCCTAAGCGGCCAGCAACTTTGCCGGAGTGGAACCTCAAGCTCACACGACTTCTTTGAATATAAGTCTACCTTCCAATTCATCAGATGCCAATAACAGACCTAGTGTACCCAGTGGCATACCGAGGTTTTTCGTGTAAGTGGTCGGCTTTTGCTCATCGAGTGGTGCCAGCAGATGTCGACCCCCCGCGTGGTTCTCGAGAGCTATCTCAACCGTGGTGGTACGTCGACTCTCTCCGAGAGTAACGGCGGGCCTTCGAGACTATGACGAGCCAGATTTTTGGCTCGCTCTCTGAGCCTCGCCTTCGTAATGCCCGGTTGGAGTCGCTTTCGGTGGCCCATATTCGTGTCACTGTCTATAAGCAAAGGGTAACTCAGCTTCAGGCGATGATAAATGCTATTTTATCTGCAGCAGAGCTCTTCATGTCCGACTGGCTTGTAATCATGATTGTGGTATGACTTCAGTAAGTTCACACAGAATGTTGAGTGTGTTCGTATTCTCTTTGTGCTGTTGTGATATTCATACGAAACCTCAATTACTTTTTGCTACTACCATGAATGGTCCGATGTAACGCGGTCGCAGCTTGGTCTTATAGACCAAACACCGCATATGTAAATATCAATGGCATGAAAAGCGCAAAATTCGTGTGGGTTGTACCTGTCTTTGGTTGATATCGGCGTGTTGGTTTTGATTGTATAGTTAGCCAGCCGCATCCTGCGCATACCACGCTGTCTCATTGACTAAATGATACTTCTTTTGCTACCAAGTTAAGCCAAACTGATATAAGCAAGTCGACAGCTCCCTTTTTCTCCTTACTAACACTGAGCCTCTTTCTGGTGGTATCATACTTTACTGGGGAGTTACCAAACCAGTTATACAAAAAAAGGAAATGTCTTTAGCAGGATGTACTGTGTTTTCAACGGACACACAATGAGAGAAAGCAGCTTAATTTACCTCCGTCAGAGTGTTGTTAAAGATTACCCTCCACAGCGCGATTCACGTGTTCCGTCTAACACTCTGTTTGTGGGTAGCCAACGTGTGCATAATCCTATTTTGTGGCAATCATCATGAATTGATTGGTTAAAACTTCTGTGAAGTGCGGGTCCCTATTCGATACAATGGCTACCGGTAAGCCATGATGGCGAGACGCTTTGTCATAAATCAGCTTGGCTGCAACCTTATCGGTCAAATTATCACTGGCAGCAGTTTTATGGTCATCTTGCTCAGACAGTCCACACAGACCACAATACCAATATTGCCGTGCGCTTATTTAATAGAAAGATAGTTCGAACAGATGGACTGCAGGCACTCTGCCTAAAACAGCAAGCTGGCCAGAAATACCGCTGGATGCGGCGATGGTTTTACTCGTGACACATTTTGCATGTTTGAACATGTGTGCTTACTCACCTTTATATACTGAGCCACACTCATCAAATAGTATGATAATCCAAAAGGTACTTGTGCCTCTTGCAATATTCATACGTCTCCATCATGAGGCACATTACACATTGAGTGTCATGTAGGTCAGTGATGTAATGCAGCAAGCCTTGGGATAAGGCAAAGTGGAACGGGGTTACACGTACCCTGGTATGAATGGATAAGTCAATCAAGATGGTGACCGTACAAATGTGTGGATTACACCGAAAACCTAAGGTTTTAGATATAGGCGGCTCTGCCGGAAATAAACAGATAAATAAAGTTTAATTCTGAAGGGAAGAGTGTAGTTGCCTTGAGTTAAAGTTTTAACTACTCTTGGGGTAGCGGATTGCGATCCGCTACACTCGTACTGTTCTGGTATAAGGTCGGTGACCTTAAGTAAGCTTCCGACAAGCAAAGAGCTACGGCAGCCACGCTGCATTTGGTAGCACTCGTAGTCAGTCTACGCCTGAGTCGTAATGACTGATTCTCCATGAGAATGGAGCACTTCTCCTTTTCGCCTCAGGGCATGCAGCACGAATAAGCTGATGTCGCTGCTTGGTCCTATGGGCGTGCAGCACCTTGCTTCGCAAGGATTCGAAACGATAAGCGCGCCCTAGAGGCGTTTACGATCTATGAAAATGCTCTGCTAGAGCTCTTAAAAAGAAGATGTCGGCGTTGAAGGCGTCCATGACGCCACCGTCAACGACGAATGGCTTCTTCTGACCCAGGCCACTCATGGTGAGCGCTTAGACCTTCGAGAAATAAGGCAGGAGAGAATCTTCTGCTTTGAGTTAGAGAGGCCGCGATGGCTATGGCATCCGTCATGCTCCAGAACGAACAACATCACGTGGTGCTAGCTATCTCCAAGCTCGGTAATCAAGCGCAAGAATGGGAACTGACATGCGGCACTTCGATGGAAGCGGCGTTCCCCTCCCGGAGGGAGCTGAAGCTGCAGCTTTTGTGAGAATTTTCTGCTACCTAACCAGGCATATCTCGTACGATCGCGTTTTCTAGCCGCCCGACACGGCAAGTAGGAATTGTTGGACTTTGTCCAAGCACTGCGTACTCTCATTGCCGAGATGGTAGTCAATCTTCTTCTCGATGCGTTTACAGCGATCGTCATCATGGAGGGCCTCCGCACTGGCGTGGCCAGAATGAAAGTCTTCCCTGTCTAGTGGTCTTCTTTTGAGGAAGCAGTGAATGTGGTATTGATTGCCGACTCCAACTTTAAGTCGGCAAGACTTGGTTAAAATACATACCCTCATAGCTCGTCGAGTGGGCCTGAGCCAATGGATCTCAGTTTCGCTAAGAAAGAGGGTGGAGAGCTCCGAGCTACCGGGTAGCGTTTGAACACCCGACTGTGTCTTGTCTGTGGAGACGCCCGTCATCGTCGGATCGGTTTGTAGAGACACCCGTCATCTTCGGACTGGTAGTCCCCTGCACAAGTCGCGTCAAGGTTCATCAAATCGACACCCCGCTTCTCACCAGTCTGGTTTGTCGCGGGGAAACGACAAAACCCAGTAGGCACGGGTCGCCCTACTGGGTGAGCTAAGCTCTGAAAATCTCCAAGCTCTTGAACACGAAGCGTGTATACAGGCCAAGCTTGCTGGCCGTTAAAGCAACCGTGAGGGGCAAAAGCAATGGAGATCCTGGTGAATTTCACGGCGTCGGGCAATTATGATCGACGCTCCATGATCGAAGGAAGTCAGCTGTATGCCAAGGCGTTGAAAGTGCGGTTATATGACTTCGTCACTGTTCGCTTAGCGACACGGACTTGTGTCATGGTGCCAAAATTCCCTGTGGGCCTCGGAATCAGGTTTCATGAATTCGATAGCGTTGAACGCTGCTTAGTCTTAGAATTGGATGCAAGGTTTGACCTTATCCTTGGTAAGGCATGGCTGAAATGCTATGACCCATAAATCGATTGGACGTCAAATACCTGGGGCGCTACGCACACGTCTCCGGATAGAGCTTTGGTGAGTCATGAACCCACCTCTGCTCGGAAGCATAAGCGCTATTTTTTGTGGGCACTGGACTGGGGTGGTCAATGTGCTGGATATCGGAGTATCCGAATTGTCAAAAACCGAAGGTGTATTGAACAAGAGCCCCGAGCATGGCTCGCGGGCTGAACGTGGAGTGTTACGTTAACTGAGCACTGCTGAAGTATCAAAGCAGTTGCTGCATGCCAAAAGTGGCATGGTTGGACGAGGTCCGAAGCATCTAGAGCGAGGCCCCAGTGATGCGCGTGGAGTGGCACGTTATCAACTGAACAAAGACTGCAGAAATACCAGCTCTTCGTCGGATGTTGTTCAGGCTCCAATGAAGCAGGGACCGGGGCGTTGGACGACACTGAGTGCATGCTTCCACTGCTCTCGATGAGACGTAAAGCCTTGATCTGCAAGACGCAGGGCGTCGACCCTGACCAGGGTGTGACTACCGTAGACGTTAGCGCACAGCTTTACATCCTTGTCAACGGTATGACAGGGGGAGGAAAACAGCGACGTCACCCTCGAGGCTACTCCCGCGGTGGATGCTCTTCTTGAGCTGGGCGAGATATTTCCTTCGATGATTTGGTGGTTCCTGCCTAGAAGACAGGCAATTTAGCCGAAGTGGTCATTATACGACCAAGCGAGAAGACTAACTCGTCTTCGCTTCTGAATGAAGCTGTCCTGGAGGACACCAAGAGAGTACTGAACGCACGAAGTGGATCGTTAATTAATGGATCCCTCGAACCCGTACTATCCTTTGGTAAAGGATTTTCAAGACGTCGTCTCCATAGACCCGTTGTCGGTCCTACCTCCGACCCGAGATGTGCGTCATGAAATCGACCTGGTTCCGAGAACCAAATACTGCGTAACACGCCAATGACCCCAGCCCAAGGAGTAGTGTGACGTCATTGACGTCTTTTTCCATGCGGAGCACGACGCAGAAATGGTGCGTGAGAGCAAGCCTTCTTATCCAACACCCACGTCTTGTGTCCGAAAGCCGAACGGTAAGTGGCATATCGCTCCCGCTTACAATAAGCTCAACGCTGCCACCATTCCGGCACAGACGCCGATTTCTAGTAAGGATGTTCTTCAGAACGTTATGGTTTGCTGTGCGAAGTATAGTGCACTCGACTTGGTCGATGGGTATTACCAATTGCTTATGAGAGCGAGTGATAATCCACTGACAGCGGTGAATACTCCGAGCGGATGCTCTGGGAGTGGCTGGT